AAAAAAAAAAAAAAAAAAAAGACCTGCACACACCTGTCCTCAATGCCTGAGACCTGCACACACCTGTCCCTGCTATCAGAGACCTGCACACACCTGTCCCCTTGCCTGAGACCTGCATGCACCCTGCCTGAGACCTGCACACACCTATCCCCTGCCTGAGACCTCACACACCTGCCCTCAGTGCTGGAGATAAAGTCTGAACCTCTCAAGGCTTTGATGGGCGTCACTGAATTTTTATACCATTCTAGGACCCTCTCTTTTTCTGGAGTTTTTCTTCAAAACAAGTGACAGGCTGTCTGGTTCTGTAGCTCTGCCTCACCCTCCCAGTGAAAGCAACTCTAAAATCTGGACAGAAGATGTCACCACGTGTCTGAGGTGAGTTTGGAGGGCAGTCAGTGCTGGCAAAAACTGGCAACTACAATTTTTGCACAGAGAGAAGCACCCGTGGGCCTCCATCCATCTGGCTTTTTCCTGGGGCTGCCATCCCTGCAGGGGAACAAAACCCGGGGGAACGCAAGCGCCCGGGGTGAGGAGAGGAGGCTGCAGCTGGGACTCCCAGTGCTGAGGCTTGCAGGGCCAGTCCCAGGAGGAGGGGCCGAGGCGAAGGGTTTGAGGTCCGTACTTCCCCTCAGGGCTGTCAGCTGGGCTTGGCTGCTCAGGGCAGAGGAGGATGTCACAAAGCCTGGCAGGAGCCAGCTGAGACCAAACAGCTGCAGCGCCCGCCGGGGAGACCGGGCCTCAGCAAACGTCCCGGGGCTTTCACTGGGGACCGTAAGGATCACATCCGGGGAGTGAGAGCAAAACGAACAAAGACCAGACCAGACCCGGATCCCTGGACCCAGGCGGCCCCGCACACGATCCGCCCTCTAGAACAAAGTGGCACTTCTGGCAGACACTCTCTGGGGTTCCCCAAGTTCTCATCCAGCCTCAGAAGGTAAGAAACTGACGGTGGCAGGAGGCAGAGAGGAGCCACCAACAACCAAGAGAAACGAGAGGTTGCAGAGACCACAACAGGTACTGGAAATGGAAACTTCAGCAAAGTGTGAGTGGCAAAGCAAAAGACGGACAGACAGAGGCCGCGCTAGAGATGAATGCTACAGCCCAAGCTTCCGCCTGCAGCCCCTCCGCTGTGCACAGTGTGCTGGGAGCGGCCGTGGATGGTGACGGGCTGGGAGGGGCTCCTCACCTGGAAAGCCAGATGAGCCTCCGACAGGAGCAGCCGTGCAGGCTGGTACAGGTTCATCTCCAGCAGAACTTCTGCCTTCAGCATCCACAGGAGGGGAAAGGACGTCCCATCCAGGCCCCTCCCGGTCTCCCCATTCATCTTCAAAATCTGGAAGACACCACAGCCCCAGGCGGCAGGGTCCTGACGCTGCGACCTCCGAGTCCCACGGGACGAGCTCTGGCTCAGCAGCCGTCCCTGCGACTCAGGAACCACACCACACCGAGGGCTCCCTGCTGGCCTAGGCACTGTGGGCGCCTCACAAGCTCCCCGTGCGCCCTGAGGCCAGGGCTCAGGCCTTTGCCTTTCCCCCGACAGGCCTCTTGCACCCTGTGCACCTCTCTCTTCTCACGAATCCCCTTGCAGCCAACCAAGACCACCACTAGCCACGTAGAGCCTTTGCTACTCCGCGCACGCACACACGCGCACACACACAC